TCCTCCTCCTCCTCCTTCCTCCTCCTCCTCCTTCCTCTTCTGACAGTGTCTCACTATGAAGTTCAGGGTGGCCTTCTGCTCACTTTGTAGCCCGGGCTGGTCTCAAACTTTCTTTTCTTTTTTTTTTTATGAGCAGAATATATTTATTGAGAGAAAGAAAGCTCCTGTCCAAGAGAGGGACAAGAGGGGGGACCGAGTGGGTAGTTCCCCCTCAAACTTTCAATGATCCTCTTGCCTCAGCCTCCCAAGTGCTGGGATTACAAGGGTATGCCACCATGCCTGGCTGTTTATTCTTGCTAGAGTTCAACCTTTATTATATTTTGCCTTGTTTACTTTCTCTGAAAACTGACTATGATATTATTCCCCTGGTTACTTTAGTTTGCTGATATAGATCCCCAAAATTGTACTTATTTGGGTAACATCACTATGTTCACTGTCACCACCACCACTGTTACGACCAGCTCCGGTATTTGTCCTGAATCCTAATTTTCTCCTTCCTATAAAACAACCACATCAATCACTCTGCACTTCCACCAACATATTGTTCTAAAGCGTGTGTGATTGACCTCAGGGGCCCTCTTAGACACTAAGCAATCACTCTATCGCTGATCTATACCCTCAGCTCTCTTTGAGAGCAGATCTGACGAAGGTGCTCAGGATGGCCTTGAACTTAGGATCCTCCTGCCTTCAGCCTTCCAAGGAGCTGGGATCACAGGCAAGCACCACTGCACGCGGGTCCACAGACATAGTACGTCATTCATAACAGAGCACGTTCCAGGCCTCATTGTCTTTGCACAGGCTGAACGCTCTGCATTGAGCGCTTTCCTTTGTAAGCTTATGAAAATATACTGCCAAAGACAGATTATAGCGCTGCCAGTACTTGTTAAGCACCTGTCCTAGCAAGTGGCTGGGGGAGGCACAGTGAACAGGGCCCTAGGAGAATATTCTGCGATGACAGAGGGTCTCCTATTTGCCAGAATGTGGTAGCCGCCAGCTATACATGGCTTTTAGGCATTGGAGATGTGGCTGATATAAAATATATGTCAATTTTAAAGACTTCCTGTGGGGAATAAAAGACTTTACAATGCCTCATTAATAACATTTTTAACATTTATCTCACTGAGCCCCACAACAAATCCATGAGATGGTTGTAACAGTTATCACCCTTTTCTTTTTTATTTTTTTTCTGTATTGGAAATTGAGCCCTGGGTCTTCTCATTGGGCTACCTTGCCAGCCACCCTCCCGTTCCTCTAATTTTTTTTTTTTTAAATCTTTTGAGCCCCAGTCTTGCTAAATCAATTTCTCAGACTAAGCTTGAACTTGCAACCCTCCCTCTGCTTCTGGGTGTGCGCACTACAGGCGTGCGCACTACAGGCGTGCGCTACCATGGCTGTGGTTATCTTCCTCGTTGTATATGTGGGGATGTTCTCAGAAAGGTGAAAGAAAGGAGGACAAAAGCAGCTAAAACAGGACGCGAGCTTGCGACGCTCTGGGTGGCTCGAGTTCACGCTCTGCACAGACAACTACAGCACACTCCCCAGCTGCTCCACGCAGAACCTCCGCCTGCAAATGAGCACCAGCCAGCCATTCTTCTCCCGGCTATGCACACACGTACGTACTGTCTGCTCACCCACATCATAGGTCTTGAAGTTAGAAACTGAGCACATGGGAGAAAAACCTGTTCTGACTCCGTAAACCTGGAAAGGCAATGCAGCACTGAACTCAAGGAGACGGGACATGCTCCGCTCTTGCCTCTCCTCAACGCGTGGCAGCTGCATGCCGTTCAGTTCAATCCCTAGTTAACCGGCTGCCACCGCTTTCCAGGCACCCCCACCCTTGGGGGCAGTTTCTTTGCCAGGAGGGCTCCCTGACAACTCCAGGCCCCAAATACTTGGGTGCCGCCAGCCCTTTCACTTCCACACCCTCCACTCCAAGGGATTGGAGGCGCTTTCCTGCACATGGCCTGAGAACCCTAAGATCACCTGAGGGGCTGTTCTCTGGCTGCCCTTTTTTCTCAGTCACTCTTAGCTTTCCTTTGTTGCTCACTCCGACAGCTGGGGCTTCTACACTTCTGGTTTCTATAGCCTCAACTGTGCCTTCTCCAGGGGTCTGTTCTCAGCCTCCCACATGATCCAGCAAACTCTATTAACTCTCTTGCCTGGATCTTTCTAGAACTCAGCTGTTGTCTATGCCTACACCACTGCCGTGGGCAAGATGCCCTCCACCAATCACTTCACTAGCTCCCTGGGCTGCTCTGGAGGGTCATGTCTCCTCAGTAGCAAGCGATCTCAACGCATGGTCTGGATCACTTCACAGTGTTATTTAAGCCCTTTGTAGACAGGGGTCACCTCTACCTCTGCGTGTTTGGAGTGGAATGTGAGGTTTCAGTTTTACTAAAACACTAAGTGGAGCGGACACCCGAGGTGGGTCAATACTTGCGGTTTCTTTATCTCCATTTGTCAGATGAGATCAAAACTGTCTGACGCCACCCACCTCCCCAGAGTCAGAGCGCAGTGGCCCCCTCTACAACCCCTGACTGCTACTCACACTTGGTGTGCCTGTCACACAGGGCTGACGCCCGCATGTCACACAGCCGGATTGTCCCTTTGCTGCTGCTGTACACGAAGGTATTGCAGTGATGGGGGTGGAACTCTGCGGCTGTGATCACCTCGGTGAGCTCCTCCATGTTGGCCGGCTTGATGTCCACGATATCTGGCACAGAGGAGTCAAGGAAGGAACCAGGAGGAGGTGGAAGCCTGGGGGTTGGCAGTGGCACCATCTCCTAAGAGCACGACATAGTAGCATTTGCCACACATGGAGCGGATCTTTATTGGAACTCTTAGTGAAAAAGGAAGCAAGTGTTACTGGTGTTAGGCAGTTAGGGGCTCAGGACTTCAAGAAAATGGATCAATGTTACCTGGTAGTGGTAGCCTTAGAATTCGGGCCTCTTGATTCTTTAGCACTGGTTTATCCTCTGCAACTTGCAAAAGGCATCCATTTATGGCCTAGGGTACTTGCATGCAAACAGTCTTAAATGGTCCAAGTTACAAAGAATTCCGTTTCCCACTTTGTAACGTGAAGTAGTTTCATTCCAATCAAAAAATCCAACTTATTTAAATCTATACCCAGATTCTAGGACTGATAAATGGTATCTGTAAGAGGCTGCAAGTCTTCTTCCATGGAATCCCTGAACTTTGTTTAATAACATAGGTGATGATAATAGCTACCATCTACTGAATGCGATATAGGCCATTAATTGCATAAGGGAAACCGTGCACTTCATCTCATTTAATCCTCACAACAACTGTACACACACTTTTGAGAATCCAGATTTCAGGGGTGGAACTAATGCTCTGAGCATAGAGACTAAGTAGCCCCAAGACACGGCTAGTGAATAACACTAGGATCTCATTCCTGTGCAGAATCTGCCACAGTTATACAAAGTTCCTCTCCTTTCAGAAGTAGGCCTTTCGAGTTTCCATAAACAGAGATTTGCTTCAGAACTTGGGTGAGAGTTTAGCTACCTGGAAGAAGCCAACCCTACATGGTGGACAAGATTTAGGTTTTCACAGACCATACTCCTAGATTTATTACATTTTTCCCTCTCTCTCACCATTTTCCTCTCTGATCAAGAATTATTATACTCCTATTTAAAAACTGTATACTTGTATGTTGAAATGGCACATTTGGCCTTTTGTTTATGAAAACAATTCAAGGGACATAACATTTCCTGTACGGTGTTTGGTATGAGTGAAGAAACAGCTTCCTACTGATGCCTTTTCATTCCTACCAAGAGCTGGGAGGCACCTGGCCGAGATGGAGCTTCTGTCTGCAATGCTGCAGCTTTCTGCCAAGGACCAGACCTGTGATGGGGTGTGCTCACACAGCAGAGGTGACCAAGAGGGTTCCCACTTTTCTCAGCCTTTGCCATGACTGTGCCATGACAATTTTCGCTTTATCTGCCCGCATTGTGAGGTAGTAATTCTTCCTCAATGTTTTCTTCAGGCTATCTTGAAATGGGATGACTTTTCTCTAAACAAAGTTCATTAAAACCAAGAACTTAATCATATACATACAATAAATATATAATGATTAACATGAAAATGTCCTACAAGATTCTGTAGCACATTTTAGAAGACAAGGCACTCAGTCCAGGAGCAATAACTGATGCAGACCATCCAGAGATGGATAAAAACCATCTTCTGTTTTCAGTAAGCAAGGAGCACTCTTTTCCTTGAGGTGCAGAGAGGTGCAGAGTGTGCTGATGTCTTGAATCCCACCAGCACGGACTAAGTAGGCGTCTACTACTACATACCACCTGTGCTCCCATTAGAGTTTTTTCAATGTGTAATTTGTTTCTAGAGTGGCTTTGTCTTAGGCTGTGTCTCCTCTTCCTCCTTCAATGATCTCTCACACATTCTTTTGGATTCTTTCTAAAATTAGCTTGAGACTGACCTAACAACATTTTGGTATACTCTTTCCCCATGCAACTCAGATATAAATATCACTTGGGTCTCTAGGGCATGTGATTCCCTGAATTCACAAACTACTAGCTTTTAACTCAATTTCTGCTAGAGTTATAAATATCATTGCAGTTGGTGCATAGCTGGGGAGCGTATGCTTGTGCTGCTCATGGGGAGGCTGCAGGTTGCAGTGCTGATGTCCTCTCTGGCCATCTGACCCAGGCCTTGGGCTCAGGTTCAGCTGTTGTCAGATTTCATCACACTCCAAAACGAGCCTCGATACCGTATGGTGCCAATGAATATATTTCTCTTTTCCCAAAATAGGGAAAGAAAATCTGGTGTCAGCGTTCTCAATCCCTCCCAGTATAGCTCTAAACACAAGCTGAAGGGAGGGGATCTGGATGTGGTGGAGGGAGGTACTACAGCCACAGTTATTATTTTTTCTCATCTAAAAATAAAGCCCTAAAGTCAGTATGTGTGAAAACAAAGCACCGAAGCATATCTCCGACACAAGGAGCATCCTTGAGTCCTGCAAGGACACTCACAGGGTGAGCCTGCTGAATCTGCTTCCGGATCTGTCCTTCCACCCATCCATCCCCGACTTCCAAGCCTGCCTTTCCATGAACCCTTCATCCCCAAGCCATGGGCTTTATTATCTTCTCCATGTCTGAGCCTCCCTTCTGGCTTGAATACCTGTCGGGTGTGACCCTTTGGGACTAGGGTGTGAAGTATGACTTTTTTTTTTTTTGAGACAGGGGAACTACACAGCAAGAAGAAGATCATAATTGAGATGTTTGCCGTGTGTTAGGCCTGCTCTGTGATAAGAGCTGGGCATGTGCTGTCTCACTTACCTCTCACCTCTGCCTTAAGAGGTTGTACTACTAACAGTCCCATTTTGCTGATAAGGAAATAGTGACCAAGACAAATCATGCAAGGCTCTATGATTCACAGGGGGCAGAGCTGGGATTTGAACCTCAGCTCGTGCAAGCTCCGTGTCCAGGTTCTTGACCACAATGCCATGTGGTTCTCTTGGCACAACATGTGGCTGATAGAGAAGGAAGCTCCTCCTCTTCTGCACTGGGCCTGTGTCCTCTTATGTCACCTGTTCCTTTGGTGAGGACATCTTATAGTACCAGAATACTTATATACTACAATATAGTTTTATGGATCATAAGTTGGGATTAAACACCTGACAAGGCATTATTGGCTTGTTTTCTAATGGAGAACTTGATGGGTTTTAGAAACATACTTGAGACAGTCTAGCTGCTAAAAAGTCAATGGCTTACGGGGAAGAATGGGGGAAAGCTCCCTAACAAGTCCACTGCACCCCTTCACCCCTTATGCAGTTCTGAAGGGAGGTATGTCTTTTCAGCATTTGTGATCTTTGTGTCAGGAAGGAAGAAGAAAAGAGATGAGTACTGCATGGCCCTCTGGATTATCTTGGAAATGGAATGATACATTTTGACAGCCAATTTTCTCCTCTTTATCCACTGAGCTCTCTGTCTAAATTATTTCCTTGTTTTCGCAAAGAAGTGAGTGGCAAATGTAAAACATAGCATCAGAGTCACTGTTAACACAGAACATTGGCAGCCAACAGCCTGCTACTAAATTAACCCCAGGGCTTGGCAGACCTGTTCTTTCTGACCCCAACTGCTTGTGGCATTCCTTATTAATGCTAAAGCCAGGCAGATTTCTTCTGCTAACAAAAGGGGTTAATCTGGCTCTGTGCTGGGACTCTGGAGGCAGCTCTGAGGACAGGAGGGGCACAGCCAGCCCGGGAGCCAAGCTTGAAGCTCAGAAAGTAGAAGGCAGAAGGTGAGGGCACTGCTGTGCCAGGCAGTAGCCTAAGGCATCATTTAAAACAATAATTGAAGACACTGGGAGGTCACCTCTTAAGGGATCAGTGTCAGACAAATAAGCAGCCAGAGCCATAAATTACATCAGCAGTGGAATGAAGGAATGGGGAGGATCGGGGTAGTAGTTAGCAGAAGGGGAAGCCACTCAAGTTATTTCCTTAATCCAGGATTGGAAAATCCAAGCTTTACTGAAAAGAAAGAACTACTGCAATGTTGCATAAGAAAAAGATTGAAAGCAATCTAAATAAATATAAGGAAATGATGACGTGAATTTTAATGTAACTCTTATTTTTGGTAGCAAAATTTCCAAGCCAGTAAAAAACTTACCATATGCAAAAGTCTAATTCTGGTATGATCACAATAAGACTTACATTTATATTCTGAAAATAATGGTCTAAAAGGTAAGATGCTGAAATGTTAATTTTATTAGGATGGGTCTATGAATAAATTTTTTCCTGTTATTTTTCATTAACAGAGTAGCATTTCTGCATTTTCTTTTAATGAAGCTGCAGCATTTTATGATGTAAAAAACATTAAGACACCTATTATGTTTGTTATATATGTTGAGTAAAGTTATGTACAACATATGTACTTGAGTCTGACCATGGCCTCACTGAGAAAAAGCCATATTAAAAAGAAAATAATCACAGAGTAAGCGAGGCAGGAAGGAAATGCAGCTGTGTCTCATGGGATAATGAGATCCAAAAGTCAGCGTGGTAAGTGGTCTGTTAGCAACAAGGCCTCACTTTTCCATTTTTTCCTTCATGTACTGCGTAAAAGTTCCAAAAGATCTAGCCTGCAAGTATTTTGGGTCCAGGGGCTCCAGAGGAGACCAAGGCTGCCTGAAAAACCCTTGGCCTAGTAAATCTCCATTTTAGGGGAAAACCTGCCAACAAACAAGGTAAACAAGTATAATGTATAGTATGTCAATGATAAAAACTAGGCAGAAAAACAAAGCATGGATGAAAGAAAGTATGTGTGTCTGTATGTTAAACTCAATGGAAGAAAGGTTCCTAACTAGAATATTTTTGAACCTTTTGGTTTTCTACTCTCCCCCCTCCCCTCCCCTCCCCTCCCCCCTCCCTTCCTCCTTCCTTCCTCCTCCCCTCCCCTCTCCTCCCTTCCCCCCATCTTATCCAATATGGCAGAATTGGCTGGCATTAAGTTAAATTGTGATGCAAATATATTGTGTATACATTGAAACTGGATATTTGTTTCATTTTCCCCAAATCTCTCTAATGAGTACACACTATTGGACAGTAAAATAATAAAAAAACAGTAGTTTGCCTGACTTAGAATCATTCAGGAAAGTTGAAGGACCATGAACTTCATTGTTATGGATTCGTTCAAAATAATATTATGATTACAACAAAACGGGGAGAGGCTGGGTTCA